GGATTTAGTGTTTACAAACCACCCCGATGTGCAGGTCTGCCCTTGTTGGGAGAGGCCACCAGCCTCCCCAGGGCAGATTCCACAGTGGGGATAGCAGGGGGTGGTGCTGGCTGTGGGCCTGCCCAACTGTCCTCTTCATGAAATGCTTTGTAGCTTTACCCCTGACTCCGCCATTTCCTGTGTTGGGCGGAGCCCATGCACTCCTGTCAGGTGTGTGTGCACTCGTGTGAGGCATGTGTGCACTCGTGTGAGGCGTGTGCACTCGTGTGAGGTGTGTGTGCACTCGTGTGAGGCGTGTGCACTCGTGTGAGGCGTGTGTGCACTCGTGTGTGGCGTGTGCACTCGTGTGAGGTGTGTGCACTCGTGGGAGGTGTGTGTGCACTCATGGGAGGCATGTGTGCACTCATGGGAGGCGTGTGCACTCGTGTGAGGCGTGTGCACTCATTTGAGGCGTGTGCACTCGTGGGAGGCGTGTGTGCACTCGTGGGAGCCCTGTGCATTCATGTGAGGCGTGTGCACTCGTGGGAGGCGTGTGTGCACTCATGGGAGGCGTGCGTGCACTCGTGGGAGGCGTGTGTGCCCTCGTGGGAGGTGTGTGTGCATGAGCGTGTGCCTCCCGCAGAGCAGACACTGACAGGATGGGGGTTCGAGGACGCTGGGGACATGTGCCGGGGGAGGCGACAGGGACTCTCGGACTGCACAGTGGCAGCCAGACCAGCCTGGCGATGGTCCCTAGGCCAGTGGGGCAGCGTCCACCCCGGGGCACCTTCTCCGAGGCTGACAGCTTCCTAGCTGATTCCCTCGTTGTCAGGACACTGCTGTCTGGCCCTCGGTGGCGGCCAGGTCTGAGGCGGCACCATTAGGCTGCTCAGCTGCTCTGAAGAGTCAGCAGGGGGACGGTGACGATGGAGGCTGTGGGCCGCGTGGGCAGCCTCTGAGCGGTCTGGGGGCCGGGCAGCCCAGGGCACCTGACCCTTTTCGATGCCCAGAGCGAGAGTCAGCTTTTCTAAATGCTGCCAGTCAGACGCTCTGCACCAAGCCCCGAGACCGTCCGGCAGTGAGACCTGGGGAACAGACAGAGGTCTGGGGGCCTGGCAGGCTGAGGACCACTGTGGGCACGAGCCGGGCGCACTGGGGACCCCCGTCAGGAGCAGAAGCCCGTCTGCAGCCGGTCGCTCTGGGGCACAGCAGCGGGGACTTTGTGAGTCTTCAAGGCCCCTTGCTCTGTGTGCAGAAATTTCAATTTGAAATTTGCTATTTTTATTCTCTTTAAAGATAGCTTTATTGAGACGTAACGCGCCGTAGAGTTCGCCCGTTTGAAAGATAGAGCCGATGGTTTTAGAGTGTCCTAAAATGGGCTTCCCTGGCGGCTCAGACGGTAAAGCGTCTGCTACAATGCGGGAGGCCTGGGTTCACTCCCTGGGTCGGGAAGGAGATGGCAGCCCACTCCAGTACTCTTGCCTGGAGAATGCCATGGACGGAGGAGCCTGGCGAGCTACGGTCCAAGGGGTCGCAAAGAGTCAGACACGCCTGAGCGGCTTCACTTTCACTTCAGCGTGGCCACAGATGGCACGCCCAGCAGCCATCGCCACTCTAGGGGCCATGCTAAGGGAGTCGCGCCACGTCAGAGGGAAACCCTGCATCCTGCAGCTGCCCGCTGATGGACATGTGGCCCAGCAGCCATCACCACTCTAGGGGCCATGCTAAGGGCGTCGCGCCACGTCAGAGAGAAACCCTGCATCCTGCAGCTGCCCGCTGATGGACATGCGCCTTTTCTTCATCTTTTGACTCCTGTGACCAACACAGCCCTTAACCNGCTGCCCGCTGATGGACATGCGCCTTTTCTTCATCTTTTGACTCCTGTGACCAACACAGCCCTTAACATTTGGGTGCAAGGTTCGGTGCAGACATAGGTTTTCCCTTCTCTTAGGCATAATGAATTCTAGGAAGTGGGAAGTGGTGATCGAAAACATGTATGTAAGCAATTAAGATCTTGAAACTATTGCAAAACCTGGAGGCAGAAACAGAGTTCAAAATGAAACTGGAAAAAACCTCTAGTTCTCCTGATCCCATATTTTTTAAGCTTATTTAAAAATTTTGTTTTCTTTTTTTACAGTATTTAATTTTTAGAGTAAAATGAATGAATGTATGGGCAGAACTTAGAACAGCTTCTCCGTGTTGTTATTGGTGCTGCTTTTGTTATTATAATTTTTTTAAGTGTTACAATTTTCTCTTTGAGGAAAGGAAGTTTGTCTCGATCAATTATAAATCTTCCCAAACATATGCTGGTATTTAGTCAATAAGTCAAGTCCAACTCTTTGTGACCCCATGGACTGTATAGCATGCCAGGCTTCCCTGTCCTTCACAATCTCTTGGAATTTACTCACATTCATGTGCATTGAATCAGTGATGCCATCCAACCATCTCATCCTCTGTCATCCCCTTCTCCTCCCGCCTTCAGTCTTTCCCAGCATCACGGTCTTTTCCAATGAATCAGCTTTTCACATCAGGTGGCCAAGGTATTGGAGCTTCAGTTTCAGCATCAGTCCTTCCAGTGAATATTCAGGGTTGATTTCCTTTAGGATGGACTGGTTTGACCTCCTTGCTGTCCAAGGGACTCTCAAGAGTCTTCTTCAGCACCACGGTTTGAAAGCATCAATTCTTTGGCATTCACTCATCTTTATGGCCCAACTCTCACATCCATACATGACCACTGGAAAAACCACAGCTCTCACTGAATACACCTTTGTCGGCAAAGTGATGTCTCTGCTTTTTCATACGCTGTCTAGGTTTGTCATTTCTTTTCTTCCAAGGAGCAAGCATCTTTTCATTTCATGGCTGCAGTCACTGTGTGTAGTGATTTTAGAGTCCAGGAAAAGAAAATCTGGAAATACTGTTTTCACTTTTTCACCTTCTATTTACCATGAAGTGATGGGACCAGATCTTTGTTTTTTTGAATGTTGAGTTTTAAGCCAAACTTTCACTCTCCTCTTTCACCCTCATCAAGAGGCTCTTTAGTTCCTCATCACTTTCTGCCATTAGAGTGGTATCATCTACATATCTGAGGTTGTTGATATTTTTCCTGGCAATCTTGATTCCTGTTTGTAATTCAACCAGCCCAGCATTTCGAATGATGTACTCTGCATGTAAGTTAAACAAGCAGGGTGACAATATACAGCCTTGACGTGCTCCTTTTGGAACCAGTCCGTTGTTCTGTGTTTGATTCTAACTGCTGCTTTGCGACCTGCATACAGGTTTCTCAGGAGGCAGGTAAGGTGGCCTGGTGTTCCCATCTCTTGAAGAATTTTCCACATAGTCTATGTGATCCACACAGTCAAAGGCTTTAGCATCATCAGTGAAGCAGAAGTAGATGGTTTTGTGGAATGCCCTTGCTTTCTTTATGATCCAGTGGATGTTGGCAATTTGATCTCTGGTTCCTCTGCCTTTTCTAAATCCAGCTTTTACATCTGGAGTTTCTCAGTTCATGTACTGCTGAAGCCTAGCTTGAAGGATTTTGAGCTATCCCAAACATACATCATAGTATACCAATGTATATGAATTGAATGCATATGAATAGTATGTGAAAATATGAGCTTATATTGAAGATACATATGCATACATAAATACCTGACTTGAATTTAGATCACTGGCTAGCTTTTTCAAGTCTTGTGTAGTATTTTTAATTCTGGTAGAAACTCTCATCTCTATTCTGTAGACAGTGCAGATCTATACACTCAGATGCAACTGACCTTTAAAGACTGTCTTTAGCGACGGTCGCTCCTGTGAAAGGAGCTGGAAGTCTCCGTGGAGAGGCTGTGACCTCATCAAAGGGAAAGCTTCTTTTTACCAGTGGCTTCGATCTGTCTTTTAATTTTATTTTGTAATTAAAATATTTTCCCTTCCTTTTTACCTGTGATTCCCTTCACTTATTTCTCCCAGGCCTTCATTCCAGGCTGTCTCTGGCAGTCTTCAGTCTGGTTTCTGTATCTACGAGCTTCTTCCTTGTTTTTGCTTTTTAATTCCACATATAAGTGAAATCATATAGTATTTGTCTTTTTCTGTCTAACTTATTTCACTTCCAATTTTTTCCCCCCTTAGGATCACTCCAGCTATTTGGGGGGCTGGAGTATTTTGAGGGGCTCCATATACATTTTAGGATTATTTGTTCTTTTTCTTTGAAAAGTGCCTTTAGGATTTTGATAGGGAATGACACTGAATCTGTAGCTTGCTTTAGGTAGTATGGATGCTTTAACAGTATTAATTATTCTAATCCATGAGCAGAGAACGTCTTTTCACTTTTTTGTGTCTTCAGTTTCTTTCATTAATGTCTTGTAGCTTTCAATATAAATGTCTCTCGCCTCTTTGACTAAATTTATTCTTTCTGATGCAACTGTAAACAACATTGCTTTCTTCATTTCTCTTTCTGATATTTATTAGTTATAAAATGCAGCAGATTTTTTGGTATTGACTTTGTATCCTGTAACTTTTCTGAATTCATTTATTAGTTCAAACAGTTATTTGATGGCATTTTGGGGTTTCCGATATATCATATCATGTCATCTGCAAACAGTGACAGTTTACTTCTTCCTTTCTAGTTTATTTCTTTTTCTTGTCTAATTTCTCTAGCTAGGTCTTCCAATACTACATTGAATAAAAGTGGTGCGAGTGGGCATCCTTGTCTTGTTCCATATTTTTTGCAAAACCAATCCATACTTCTCAAAGATCACTCACAAAACATTGGCCATCAAAAATTTTGTTCTAAACCAAGATTTCCAGGAGAAATATCAATAAGCAATATCAATATGCAGATGACACCACCCTTATGGCAGAAAGTGAAGANTGCTTGGATGGCATCACTGAATCAATGGACATGAGTTTGAGCAAAGTCTGGGAGATGGTGATGGACAGGGAGGCCTGGCGTGCTGCAGGCCATGGGGTCACAGAGTCAGACACAACAGAGTGACTGACCAACAACAATTGCTCACACACCTCGAGACAATTCCTGTTAGCCCTGGTCTTGTCTGCTCGGAATGCTGGACATGCAGGCACGGTCCTATGTGTATAGGCAGGTGTGCGTTTTTATCCTGGATGAGTCCATGGGCCACCGCTGGATTGTAGCCAGATGTTTAACCAGCCCCCCAAAACTGAACATTTAGGTTCTGTAGAAATGTTCCCCTTCCCAGCAACGTTGAGCAGGAGTAGCTAGTGGAAAAGGAGAGAGAAAGAGAGTGAGAAGAAAGAACTCAGGACCTTTTAGAGCGACCGAAGGGCGTGAGCTGGCAGCAGGACAGAGGTGTGGGGTTTGGACCTGATGGCCTCCCTCTAGGGTTTGGTGTGGTTGGATGCATCCACGATATAATGTCTAAAAAGGATGGAAGGGGACCCGAGAAATCTGAAACGATGGGGTAAGATGCACGTGGTTCTCACAAGGTTGCTCTAGAAGATCCCTTTGGCTCTCTCTTCCACCTCATTCTTCCAGGCTGATTGTCCGACCCTGCTCGTCCCTGAGCTCCCCTCGCTGACCTGGGTCCTCGGGGACAGGCGGCAGACGGACCGTGCTCAGGCCGGGAGCAGAGATGGCACTGTAGTTTTGCATGAATACAAAAGTAATTTGCAAACATCAGCAGTGAGTTAGTTCTTTAACGGGACTTTAATTTTCAGATGAATATTTATGAGCCGTTGCCAAGCTTGGTCCGGAAGTTCCCGAGGCAAAGCTGCTGGTGGGGGCCTGGTTATGCCTCCCAAGGCCTCCAGGAGGGGCTGGCGCTGTCTGGAACGCTGTCCTAGGTGCCTTGTCCCTGGCGCACCCCCCCCCCGACCTGCCCCTCCGCTCCTTGTCTCAGCCCACAGTCACCCCATCAACCCCATCCTCTGCGCTCAGCCAGAAGCAAGGTGGGGCCCGGGGGGTCCGCTCCTAGGACACCAGGCCCCCTTCTGGGGCGCCTGTGATGCAGTAAGGACTGACGCTGACGTCACAGCCTCTGCAGGTGTGGCAGGAGGCCTGGCAGGCAGGAAGGCAGCTTTGGAAGGGAAGCCTTGTGACCAGCCGCAGGGAGAGCTCTCTGTGACTGAAGAGGTGACACTTGAGCTCTGCTCTGACAGCGTCGTGCCCAAGGCCCCCGGAGTCCTCGGAAATGGGGGGTGGGCTGCGAGTCTAGGGGGGCGGCCTGGAGCCCAGCGGTGGGGGCCCCCGGTACCCTCTGTGTCAGGGCTTCCCCACGGCACACCCCCTGCTGACGAGAGGCTGGCCGTGTCCGCGGTTGGGGCCTAAGTCCTCAGGCGGGAGGTGTCCATGGTGAGGGGAGAGGTCCGAGAAGCTGCCCGGGGGGGCCCGGGGGAGAACCGAGCTGTGAGCTGCTGTGACGGGTGGTTCTCGAGGGGACAGACAGCCAAGCCCCCAAACGGGCAGGGACTCCAGGCCCTTCCCTCCTCCACACCCACCGCCCCCAGCTGAGGGGCTCCAGGGGAGGGGGGCCCCGAAGGCCTTTCCCAGGCGCTGGCATGGGCGCAGGCCCCGCCCGTGCGCAGCGTGCGGGCAGGTGGGGGGCTGGCCCTGAGGTCAGCTCTCTGCTCCTCCAGCCTGCCTGCCCCGACCCTGGGGAGAAGCCGGGCTGAGTCGGTGGGGTGGGGCCAGTGGCCCCCTCTTAGTCAGCTGCTGAGGAAGCCTCAGGTGCAGAGCATTCCGGATGCAAAGAGGCCTTGAGAGGGGGTGTTGTAGACTGACCGCTGAGAAACTCTTAGCTCCCTGCTGACTCACAGGGACAGACCAGCAGAGGAAGTGCAGCAGGAGGAGCTGGAGGGAGGGGGAGGAGGGGGAGNCTGCAGGCCCAGGAGGGCCAGAGGGGCCACATGTGGGGCGGCGGCCCCTGGAGGGATGGAGTGGGGCCCAGGGTCCCCCCAACCCTGGGCAGAGGCTGGCCTTTGAAGGCTTGAGTCAGGGAGGCGGCTCTGGATAGCGCCGTCTGTGAGCCAGTAGCCCAGGGCTCGGCCCGCACCTCCATCCCTGCAGCCTGTGAGCTCACACAGGCCTCAGAAGCCATCCTGACCCGAGAACCGCCTCCTCCTCCCTGCAGCTTGCAGCCCCAGTGCCCCAGGGCCTGGGCGAGGCCAGCCAAGTGGGGCGGCTGGAAGAGCCGGTTTTGTGGGGCTGCCTGACCCCAGAGGCCTGTGCGGACAGGTGGATGGGGGGCCAGGAATGTAGGGGGGGGAGGCCCGGCTGGAGCTAGGAGGCTGAGCTGGGTGGGGCCCCCTGGGCAGAGGTGGCCTCCCTGGCCCTAGGACCCTGCTCACCAGCTGCCCTGGGACCCTCCTCGTCACCAAGGGTGATGATGTCTCTGGGGCTGCAAGCCCCTCACAGGATGGGCTCTGAGAGGTCCTGGGCCCTGAAGGGAGTGGTCCCAAGACCCTGAGAGCCCCCCCACCCCCACGCCCCATCTCAGAAGGCAAGCAGCCTGCTCCAGGAGAGGCAGGAGACAAACGGCCGGTTAACTTCCCGATTCCGCACGAGCAACAGGCCCATGCCAGGAGCAGGGAGGCCCAACACAGAGGACCCAGCACCGCGTCCACGGGCCTGCAGGGACCACCCCCACGGGAAGCAGGAGGCGCTGGCTCCCCCACTGCGCCGCTCTGGGGCACCTCTCCCCCTCAAGGCCCTCCAGGGGCGCCCCTCCTCTCCAAGGCCCCCCAGGCCCTACCCCAGGCGGGAGGGGCCCTGATCCGACCGAGCTCAAAGCTCCCAGGAACTTAGGGCTTTGTCCTAGGCGGTCTGTTTTTCAAATAAATTATAAAGTTTAATGATGTGAAGTATTGTAAAAGTTGCTCGTTACAGAAAGAGTGAGAATACAAGAAGATGTCTGTATCTGGGGAGAGACAGAGAGAGGAGTCCGGGGACGCAGGGAGGGCGCAAGGCGCTGGGAGGCTGTTTGTCTTGCAGAAGCCCGGCCTTCTGGGAGGGACCTGCCTGGCTTGAGCTGGGAGCCACCACGTGGCTGGGAAGCCCTGTCTCCACGCAGGCAGGGGCAGCTGCTGAAAGGCCCAGTCCTGGGACCTGCAATCACTGCCAGGAAACCACACACCCCCATGGGGGCGGCCAGGAGGAGGCCTGCGGGACCCCGGACCCTCCTGGCTCCGCCAACAAGCGGCTACACGGTCCCCGGATGCGGGAGGGAGCGGTCATCAGAACCCAGTCAAATGTCAGCTGGCTCCCGTCCAGGAGGAGGTGCCCAGGGTCGGCCCGGGCCCCCTGCAGCCCGTGGGTGCCCAGCGCCCGGCCCTGCACCCGCGGCAGCGCGTGGGCACCCTCTGCTGGCCACACCGCAGAAGACGAGGCCCCGCCAGGCGGGCAGCCCCACAGGCACAGGGGCCCGGCTCCCTCGCCTCCCCTGTGGGTGCAGCCCCAGCTCCCGCCCCTCGGGCCGGCTGCTGGGGTGGGGGGCCGGCTCTCCCACCCGCTCCTTGTGGGGCCCCAGCGTTTCCCGCACCCCCGGAACGGGGCCCCCAAGGCACTGCAGCCCAGAGCTCAGCCCACCAGACCTCGGGAGCCAGAGGGGGCCCAGGGGCAGGAGGAGAAGGAAGGGGGCCCCACTTGGCCCAAAAGGACCAACAGCCTCCTGCCTCAGTTTCCCCTTCGGAGCCCGCGGTGTGCAGGACTCGGGAAGCAGGCAGCGCCCGCGAGCAGCAGGGCCCTGACGGAGCCCTGGAGCCTGTGAGCCCTGCTCCTTCCTGGGGCCCCTCGCGAGGCAGGTCAAGCCGGACACAGCCTCCAGCTCACAGGGGCTCCAGGGCGGGGCCTCGGGCTGGGCACGGGGGTCCAGCACCCCCAAGCGTTGCCAGGGGCGGAGGCACTGGGGCCCAGCAGGGCTTGTAAAGCAGGCGCAGCGGCTCCCCCCTGAAGGAAGGGTTTACAAACTGAACAGCCTTCACTTACCAGCACACGTTTGCTGAACGCAGGTGAGGGAGGAGGCGCCCTGGGCTGACTGCGAGGGAAAGGGGTTCTGAGAGTCCAGGGCTGCTGTGGAGGCCCAGCGGGGAGAAGGCCCAGGCAAGGACCACGGGCTGGGGGACCACGGGCCAGGGGGACCATGGGGCTGGGGGGACCATGGGGCGGGGGGAC